AAAAAAAAAAAGCATATGTCATTAGAGTATATGCTTCTTGTCAATAACATCACAGAATAAAGTAAAGTGTATTTACCAAAGTTAAATTGAAGTGGAAGATGCCATTATATGTACTGTTTATTATTTCCAAGCTGGGCGAAAGCCCTCCTGATGTAAATATGCTGAGAAATTCCTTTGAAGTAATCGTAGTCTCAGATTGAAAAGAACACTGGATTTCCTATAAGAAACAGGAAAAAAAAAAAACAACAAGTAATAATGACAGTTGGATGGAGAGAAGTATATTATATTATTTTAAAAGTGAGGAGGAACCTATTGAAAGAAGATATTGCTAAAGACTGCTATTGTCAGTGACTTCAGTCTAACTAGGAAAAAAATTTGTTCTGAAAAGCATACATGCAGAACTCAGTAACCTATTCTGCTAGAGTCATAACAGGTTCCAATTCATCCTCATCTCTTCTGTCATAGAAATGGCCATAAAGTTATAAACTTAGAATCGAAGTTACATGCTATCACAAGTAGAAATTGCTATTTAATTAAAATCTTTCTTTTCTGTCAAGATTCCAAAAGAAACAAATATATAAAACAACAATCATTTTGCTGTATTCTTAGTGGTTGTTTCCAAGTTTTGAGGAGGTCTATGAAAATGTAGCAATTACAAATGGTAGATTTTACCAAAAGCCAACATGAGATAGAAACTTTATCCCATTTAGTTCTAGAAGTTAAGTCATTTGGGGCAAGTCATCTGTGTTTCAGTTTTGATATCTAGCAAGTGGGGAAACACATTCATTCTACATATAATTATTGAGAACTCACTATGAATCAGGCATTGGTAAAGGTGCTGGGAAAACAGAAGTGAACCACAGATCAAACCCCTGCCCTCATGGAATTTATATTCTTTTAAGATTTTATTTTTATATGCTTACAGGAGCTGGGGTGTAGGCCAGAGGTGTGTGTGGGAGGTGGTGAGAGGATTCACCAGAGACAGAGTGGGGAGCAGAACAATTGGATCTACTGAAGTATACTGCTGAGGGGAACACTAGAAAGAAAAGAGAGGTCTGCTGCATCATGTGGGTCAGCTCCCTGGTCAGGAATCAAACTTGTGCCACAGTGGTTGGAGATAGCTTGATAGTGCTGAGATTTTAACCCTTGTGCCACCAGGGAGACCTGGAGCTTACATTCTAGTAAGTATTGACAGGGAGATAAATTGAATGGGTAGATTGGAAATGAAGGATGGAAAGATAGAAGAAGTAAAATACAGAATAAATTGTCAAAATGAATTAGAGGCAAGAGACTGGGAGAACCTGAGTTTGGGAAATGAGAGCGATTTTTTAATAGGGTTATCAAGGAAAAGGACATTAGTACTAAATGGGATTGAAATAAACCAACCCACAATACGCCACTTTGGCATAAGGATTATTTTGAGGTGAGGGCAACAGAACAGCAGCAGAAGCAAAAGGAGCTTTCTGTCCGCTCCTGAGCTGCCTTGACAGCAGGCCATAGAATTCCCTGCTGAAGTGATTCCCTCTTCCCTCTCCAGTCCCAGGAAAAGGAAAAGATCTGTTAACCACTGGAGACAGAAAGTCAGAACCAAATGGGTCTGTAAAGCAAACACTGAGAAAATAAACTTTATCTTCCATTAGTTTCCCCCACAATTTATCACTCCTAAGAACCCAAACTCCTTTCACTAGCCTATCACTTCCTCATAATTTATTGTCCTTTGTTAAGATGGTATATAAAAGAACCCCAAATTTTACCCCCCTTTCCCTTTGTGTTACTCATCATTGTGTTCCTTCACGGGTATATAGTACTGTTCCTACAGTACTATAGAAGATTAAATGTCATATTAGACATAAAAACACTTTGAGCACTGCCTGCTACATATGAATGCTATTATTTCCACTAATGCCATTTATACAACCATTACATCACAACTATCAAAACATAGGTTACAATTTTCCATGGAAGAGAACAAAACTAAGGTCAGAGTTAGGTCACCTGTTCCACGACACCAAGACACGTGGCAAGACCACAATGTACCTTCAGTTCTGTAGGTTTCTCTTCCTTTAAAGTCTCTTCTTTTTTAAAAATTGCCACCTCTTTTTTTTTTTTTTTAAGATTTATTTATTTATGCACACAGAGCTGGAGTACAGGCTAGAGGTGCAGGGGCAGTGAGTGGATTCACCAGAGACAGAGTTGGGAGCAGAACAGGCTGACTGACAAAGTACACTGCTGAGGGGAGCAGCGGGCGGGTCAGGAGAGGTCTGCGTCGCCCTGTGGGTCACCTCCGGGGCGGGGATCGAACTCGTGCTGGAGTGGCTTTAGCTTCTCAGTGCTGCGCTTTAACCCACCAGTGTGGGCCCTAAGTCTCTTCTTTTTACAAATTATAAACTCGTTCCTTATTCAAAGGAAACACACCTCATGACAGTTGTAAAGAGAACCTAAATGTCACCAGTCATATCAAGAAGAAAGTGGTAATTAAGTCAAGGCAGACTGAGATAAATGTCATTTGACTTCACGGGCCATTTCTCTTTTATTACATGTATCACAGATTTTTAGGCAACATGTAAATTTTTTAGTAACATACGCTTTTGTCAGCATTTACTGGGTAGCTATCTTAATACATTTTATTTTGTTCCGTGTTTATTTTTTATCTGTCATTATTTGAATCAAAGGCATAATGTCATCTTTTGCCAAGATGACAACCAAAATGTGGTGCTTGTTATATCAGGGAATGCATTTTTCTCAAGGTCATGTGAGGTAATTTTCCTTTTCTAACAGGCTACATCTGTCAACTTCAAAAGGACAAATCAGATCCATGAAAAATGAGGATTGCTATAGCTGCTCTTTTAAAAAGCAAAATACACGCCATCCAAAAAAAAAAAAAAGCAATAAAACCAAACCACCCAGGGTATTCCAAGGCTAAATTAAAGTTTTTATCTGCTTGATCCAAATGAAATGGAGTAGGTAGAACAGGAATTGTTATTTCTGTAGAATTTCACTCCCCAAGTC